GCCCCACTTCTTGTTTAAAAAAATATTTGAGCCATGCCTGTACAATCTCAGTGATATAGATTCCTAGAGGCAGGAGAATTGTAGGAACTCATGATATTTATTTATTTGAGAGAGAGAGAGAGAGAGAGAGAGAGAGAGAGAGAGAGAGAGAGAGAGACAGACAAAATTTTATAAAGTTTCTGTAATCAAGACAGCATAGTATTAATACAAGATTAGAAACATACAGCATAATGTGAGAATATCCTGTTATATGTGACATATAATATTTTGGCTAAAGGAAGAATTATAAATTAGTAGCAAAGAGAATGCTTATTCAGTAAATAGTATTTGATATGTTGGTAATATATTTCAAAAATTATTTGAAGATACCATCTCTGTCACATACAAAAATAAATGTATTTATATTAAAGAACTAGGTCTGGAAAGTAATTACTATATCTTAAAGGTAATTGCAGTTGAATACTTATTTGATCACTAAATGGAGAAGGTATTATTAAGCATCAAAGTAGTAAGGGAAAAATATACATAAATTTGAATAAATAAAAGTGAAAACTAGTGAATATGAGAAAGACAGCGTAAAGTTAGAAAATATTTTCAGCTAATATGATGGAGCTCTGCCATTTCAAATAGTTATGCAGCTTGTAGCAGTTGACCAAACACTATGTGAATAATGAAAAATAGATATTACTGATAACTCATGAAAAATACAAAGTTCCCTAATATGAAAAACATCCAAGGATAAAGAGTTAGCTAAAACTTGATGACATTTTTAGATCAAATTTGCAAAGATTTTTAAAGGCTATATTTTGAATTGTCATAGAGGTGGCAAGACTAATTTCGCAAACTGCTGATGGGAGTGGAAGCTGTTGTAACCTTTTTGGAAAATAATTTTTTGTGTACTATAGAAATGTTTACAATTTTGTCCTTGACCCAGTATTTACTATTTTATTTCTTAGAAATTTATTTTTGGAAAATAATCATAAACATTAGTATAGATACATGCATATTATAGTCATTTAAAATAGTTAATAGTAGGAAATAACCTACTTGTCTGAAAGTAGAACATTAGGTAAATCACAGTAAATTGATATGGTTAATATTGTGTTGCTATTGAAAACTTTATAAATAAATTGGAAAGATATGTGAGAATGTTTGTGCTATAGTATTGCATGGATAATAAAGGAGGCTTCTGTGTTACCACAGATGTTCATACATGCATAAGCAATAAAATATTAGTGCTTTTTTAATACTGCAATTTTGGACAATTTTTTTTTGTATTTTTAGGGAAGGGTCTACAGGGTGTTCATGGTCTCACTACTAGATCGAACTCATAGTGATTCTCCTGTTTATAGCCTCCCAAGAGCTGGGATTACAGGCACATGCCACCATGCCCAGTCTCAATTGCCATCTCAGCATGCCCCAGAGGCTGGACCGGTGTGGCAGGTCTGGATATCGAACCCCCAGGCACAGTGCCTGCTTGCAGGTGCTTTAATGCACTGAGCTATTTGGCTGGCCCTGGATAATTTTTTATTTTGGACAGAAATGTATGAGTAAGACAGTTCATCAAATTGGAAAACATTATTGGCAGTGACTCTAAAACTTAGGTAGAAAAATCGTGGATTAGTAGCATCTTCTGTGGAAAAGGTCACTTGTAGGATCAGGTATTCCTGATTTCACATTTGGAACCTCATTCTTACTTGTTATGTTACTGTGGGCAAGATAGCCACTGTGAGACTCTTTTTTCTGTAAAGAAGTTGAAGATATTTACATCATAGTCTTATTTGGAAATTTGAAATAGCTTAATGAATGTACAATGCTTGGCACATAATTAATTGCACCTAGTGCATAATTTTGTTTGTGCATAATTGTTTCTTAGTAAGTTTTTTATTTGTGCCCTTTATGAAGTTTGTGACCAAGGCAATTTCTTGATAGGATTGATATATGGATTTGATATAAACTATGACATAGGCAATGCAATGTTTCTTTCTTTAGAGTTGTAAAATATATTTTATTTTATGATTTTCTATTGTGCTAGGTTTTAATGACGTTTTAATTATCTTTGTGCAGAAGATAAATTAGCAAGTGTTTTATTGTTAACAAAAATACAATAAAATAATATTTTGTCATTACAATATTCAAATTAATGCATTTGAATTGTAGATAATGAAACATTTGGTTTTGTGTTCATCATTTTAAAGAGTAGATGGAGTATCAAAAATTATCATTATTAGCTTGTTCTCTGCAGTTTTACTAGTAGATTAAATCCGTACTGTGAAATACAGTAGTTTTAATTCTACATGGGCAAGATGGTCGTGAGACGTTACCATATTTTATTCAAGTTTGAGCTTTCCAAATAATCCAGACATTTTTTATGAAAATTACACATAACTTGGTATTTTTGTCCATACCAAGCCATTGACAAATTCTAAAATCTACAATAAATGGTTACATAGTTCTCAATTCTGTCTATAAATTAGTTTGTAAAAGAAAATAGATGTAAACCTGTAATAATGTTTTATGGTTGCATAACATTTTACAATTTCCAGGGCTTTCTTTTTTTATGTAATTCTCAAAATAATCTTGTTAGCTAGATATGACAAATACACTTATTTTACAGATTTAGTAGCCAAGTTTCAGAAGCCAGAATTACATGTCTAGTCTAGTGTTATACTACTGATTCTAATTTTCAGGCTAGTACACTTTTCACTTTGTCATAGCAGCTCTATTACCAGACACAGAAAAATTGTGAACCAGGGTCAGCAGCACATACCTGCAGTCTGAGCTACTTAAAAGGCTGTGGCAGGAGGGTAGCAAATTTGTGGCCAACCTAGGTAACTTAATCAGACTTTATTTCAATGAAAATAAGAAAGATTGTGGATGTCATTTACTGTAAGGACCTAGGTTGAATTCCAAATACTGCCAAGAAAAGAAGTGGGGGGAAGAACAGGAAAACAGTGTTTAAACTCTTAAACTTTAGTATTAGTGAAAAAAAATAGCAGAAATAATGAAATTACCAGTGTTCAAACAAAATATTCTATGTACTTCAGATTTTCAGATGACATTACTATGTTAAATAAAGAAGAGCACTAAAATTAATATTATTATTGTGATGCCATATCATTAAAAAAGAGGAATTCTGTGCCAGTACATTTACTTAAAAAGCTATACAAACATATATTTCAAAAACTTTATACAAAATGGCTAACATTGAAAATTCTTAAAGAATTAGTTTCATATACAGTATATAGAAATCACTATTCCGAATGATTATTCAATAAAATCAAAATAATCTACACTTATTTTCTTATTATTTGCCTACTTTTGTCTTACTTGTTTTTAAAGAAAAACATTTAAAAAAATAATCATTACTGAAAGAAACATTAAGTTGTAAATTATTATTTTATTATAGGTTCTATTTACAGAAGAAGATGTGAAATTCTACCTTGCGGAACTTGCCCTTGCATTGGATCATCTACATCGACTAGGGATTGTATATAGAGACCTGAAGCCAGAAAAGTAAAGCTATATTTTTATTTAAGGGTGTTGTCTATATTTATAGAACCAGAATTACATTCTATCATAGTGGGTAAATTTTTTTAAAGATTATAAGGGAATTTAAAATTTATTTTGTAATTAATTGAAAGCTACTTATAAAAAGTATTCTTCATAATACATGTTTTGATTTTAAGTTTATCTATAAGTTATTCTAATATAGTAAATAGTTATGTTTTTGAAGGATTTTATGTAAATTTTTGATATAAACTCTTACATATTGTTGAATGTGAATTTTGATTTGCAGCATTTTGCTTGATGAACTAGGACATATCAAGTTAACAGGTATGCAAATTTTCTTAAACATTCATTAAGCTATTGCTTGACATTTTCACTATTTCAATATGCAGTGTATTTGTCTACGAATCTTTACTTATTTTCTTCTATTGTTTTTACATGTCTTTCTTCTGAAAGTAGGGCCTTTTTATTAATTTTCTTGAGAAACAAGTAGTTTTGAAAACAGTTTCAAAACTGAATAATTGGACACATTCAACAATTAATACATTGCATATTATTGTCTTTGTAGTGGTTACTCATAGTACAAGATTCAGACAAGATGTCCTGTCCAGACACTATTAGTACAGATCTTTCTTCTCATTGAATGAAGAGACAGTAGCTATATATCTATGTTAACTATTTTGTATATAAAATATAAAATGGTCCTTCATTTATATCTCCTTTTTTCTTTAGTTTTGTCAGAGAAGGATATTCCATTGCTATGTAAATATTGTAGGTGTGTGAATTCTGCAAAATAATCCAGTAGAGTCCAGTAGTCCATAATAGTAGTGGGTCATCCGTAGGACTGGCAGTGTCAGAAGTTGTGGACTTGAGCTTTTACAGCTCAGCATATTAATATGGCTTTGCTTTTTATACCTCGTTTTTATGCTTTTCTGCTGGATGGTTAACACTGAGATAGCAAGACCTATATAACAAGAAATGTAACTTTTGTATCTGACCAAGTCAGTCAAGTACCCTCAGGATTTACCCTGAAACCCTGCACTGCAGTTTGTAGATCCTTTTTCAGTGTCAGCCATGTGGATGAATCATGACCATTGCTTGACCAATGTTCTGTATGTGAAAGCCTGAGAGAATATTTTCTCTCCATGTGACTCTCCTTAGGCACATTCTACATCATTGATCACTTTCCTCTGTAGCCCCATAACCTCCTTGATCAGTAAATTTGGGACACAACTGAGTTACAGGTTGTTACAGTACAGGTTCTCCTATGTCCTTTATCCTCACTGACCTTGAAAGGCTAGGGCCAAAATGTTGGTTGTCCTTATAGCCTTTCTTTTTCTCTAATTTTTGATCTGCAAACTTAGGTTGTTAACCCTCCAGAAGAAAAGATTAATGCTATTATTAACCTATAACATGGGCAGTTGAGCTTAACCTCACTGTCTGCCTGAATATCAAACATCTTAGAAATAACATGTAACAGGTATTTTCCATCAAGTATTGATACGTTAAACTTTAAATCCGGGCTGGGGAGATAGCTCAGTAGAGTAAGTGCTTGCCTGGCAAGTACAGGGTCCTGAGTTCAATCTCCAGTACTGAAAAAAAAAAAAAAGAAAGAAGAAAAAAAACTTTAAATCCCTACAAAATGTGAACAAAAAAGGAAAAACATTAAAAAATAGGAATAAAGAATTACATATTTTTACATAGAAATTTAGAAATCTAACCATATACAGCATTGTAGCAGGACAGTTCTATGACATTTTTTTCTTGTCTCGTTTTCATTCATTACCCTTTTTTAAAACAAACATTTACTTGAGAAACAGTATGGCAGTAATTGGTATGACATGAGAAGGAGTACATATTTGAAAGACCAGAATGACAGGCATTCCAAGTATGAACCTAGTATTACACATTGCTATCTTCAGTGCAGTTGCTCAGTTTACAGGTATCAGCATGTGTAGTTAGTCGGGGTGAGTATCCTACCAATTAACCGCTAGTTTCAAAAACCTGCTGGAGATTCTCTGGATCATTGCCTTAACCGTCTTGTTCATATAAATCTATGGCTTTGTGACTGTCATGTTTCCTACCTTTTCTTCTTGCCCTGTCTTCATTCTTTAATCCTCAAGTTCTCACTTTCATTTCAATTGTGTTATTCCTTTCTATTTTCATTTCTTTTTTTTTTGAGATCTTACACTAGGTAGAATATACGATATTTGCACATGTGTGTCTGGTTTATTTCACTTATGAGTATATCTTCAAGTGGCATCCACTTCAATATAAAAGCTTCGAGTTTATCATTCTTTATAGCTGAGTAATACTCCACTGTATAAAAATACCACTTCTTTTTCATCCATTTCTCAGGTGACAGACATCTTGGTTGTTTCCAAGATTTGGTTATCACAAATTTTGCTGCTATAAACATAGGTACACATATATCACTGTGATATGATGGTTTCAGTTCCTCTGGGAAAATTCCCAGTAGGGGGATAGCTGGTTTGAATGGGATTTCCAGTCCTAGTTTCTTAAGGAGTCTGCACACTGATTTCCATAATGGTTGCACCAGTCTACATTCTCACCAGTAGTGAAGAAGGGTACCTTTCTCCCCACAGACTAACATTTCTTGTTGGGTGATTTCTTTATGATAGCCATTCTTTTGGGGGAAGATGATATCTCAATGTTGTTTTAATTTGCATTTCCTGGATGGCTAGTGGTGTGGAGCATTTTTTTCATATTTTACCTACTTCTATAATTTTGTCTTCTGAGAAGTGTGTGTTCATCTCAGATGCCCATTTCTGGATGAGGTCTTAAAATTGTGGCCCTGATGTTTTTTAGGTCTTTATGAATTCTAGAGAGCAGACCTTTTTCTGAGTGTTTATTAGTTAAGATATTTTACAGATTTATGGGTTGTCTTTTCACTTTGTAATTTTTTTATTTTTTGGTAGAACCATGGATTAAACTCAGGCCCTTGCACTTGCCAGTGAAGCGCTTATTCTACTGAGCCATCTCCCGGGCATGTTGTTGATAATTTTTTTGATATGTAAAAGCATCTCAATAAGAGGAGGTCCCAGTTGTTAGTTCTTTTAACTATTACCTGTGTGATTTGATTTTTGTTTATAAACTATTTGCCTACCCCAATGTCTTCAAGACTTTCTACTTCTTTCTTTTCCATGAGATTTAGTTTTTCTGTTGTAATGTTTAGATCTTCAATCCATTTTGACTTCTACTTAGTGCATGGTGATAGACCTGAGTCAAGTTTTAATTTTCAGGAGAGAGAGAGCCAGCTTTTCCAGCACCATTTGTTCACTAGGCTATCTTTCTTCCAGTAAGCATGTTTGGTGCCAGGCTTCTGCATATTCTAATCTATTCCTTTGAACTTCGGGTCTATTTTGTTGCCAATACCATGCTGATTTTGCAACAGTGACTTTGTAGTATAATTTCAAGTCAGGAATTGTAGTGCCTACTGCCTTGTCTTTGTTGCCCAAGATTGCCTTTGCTGTTCTCGTTCTTTACTGGTTCCAAATAAATTTTAGGAATGACTTCTCTAGGTCTGTGAGGTATGTTGGTGGAGTGTTGATAGGGATTTCATTAAATCTGTACATTAATTTTCGGAGTATGGCCATCTTCACAATGTTGGTTCTACCAATCCAGGATCAGGGAATATCTTTTCACATTCTGAAATCTTCTGTGATCTCTTTTTTCAGAGTACTTTAATTTTCACTGGATAGACCTTTGACTTCTTTAGTTAGGTTAATTCATGAGTATTTCTTTTTCCACAGTGCTATTATAAAAGGTACTGTTTCTCTAATTTCCCTCTCAGTGTGTTTGATATCTGAGTAGCGGAATACTATTGACTTTTGGGTATTGTCTTTGTATCCTGCTATGCTACTGAATTTGTGTATCAATTCTAGTAACTTCTTCGTTGAATTTTTTGGGTCTTCAAAGTATCATGTCATCTGCAAAGAATGATAAGTTACCCTCTTCTTTACCTATTCGTATTCCTTTAATTTCTCTCTCTTGTCTAATGGCTCTAGCTAATGATTCCAGAATTGTATTGAATAAGAGTGGAGATAGAGAACATCCTTTTCTTGTACCAGATCTGAGAGTAAAAGATTTCAGTTTTTCCCCATTTAGTATTATGTTAGCCATTGGGTTGTTACAGATGACTTTTATCAGGTTGAGGTAGAGACCATCTATTCCAATTTTTTGTAGGACTTTGACAATGAATGAGTGTTGGACTTTGTCAAAGACCTTTTCTGTATCAATGCAAATGATCAAATGGTTTTTAGATTTTGTTCTATGTTGATATAGTGTATTACATTTATAGATTTGTGTATATTGTACCATCCTTGCATCCCCGTGATAAATCCTTCCTGGTGTTGGTTTATAATCTTATTGATGATTTTCTGTATTCTCTTTGCTAGGATTTTATTGAAGATTTTTGCATCTATGCTCATGATGGAGATTGGCCTGTAGTTCTCTTTTTTAGTTGCATCTTTCCCTGGTTTTGATATCAGTATAACACTTGCCTCCAGAAAGGATTTTGGAAGGATTACTTCCTTTTCAGTTTCATTGAAGAGTTTGCAAAATATTGGGATTATATCTTCTGTAAGTTTCTTATAGAAATCAGCTGTGAATCCATCCAGACCTGGACTTTTCTTTTTCTGTAGGCTTTTTATTACATTTCGTATTTCTTTGCCTGTTATTGCTTTATTGAGAGTTGTTGTATCTTCTTGTTTCAGTTTTGGTGATTTGTAACTTCCTAGGAATATGACCATTTCTTCTGTGTCTTCTATTCTGTAAGAGTAAAGATTCTGAAAGTAGCTGTTCATGATCTTCTGAATTTCCACTGGTTCTTTGCTAATTTCACTGTTTTTATTCCTTTTTGCTTGTATTTGAGTTTTTTCTTTCCTCTTTTTGATAAGGTTAGCTAGGGGCTTATCAGTTTTATTTAATCTTTCAAAGAACCAGCTTTTTGATTCGTTAATTCCTTGAATTGTTTTCTTCATCATGATTTAATTAATTTCTGACCTAATGTTTATAGTTTCCTCTTATTTTTGGGTTTGGGTTTGGCTTGCTCTTCTTTTTCCAGATGTTTGAGGTGCAGCATTAGGGTATTTATGTCTTCCTGTTCTGTTTTCCTAATGTGTCAATCCACAGTTGTAGATTTCCCTCTAAGAACTGTTCTCCTTGCATCCCAGAAATTTTGATATGTTTTGCTTGAATTTTCCTTGAACTGTAGATATTGTTTAATTTCATTTGTGGCCCTTTGGTTGCTGAAGAAGACATTGTTTATTTTCCATGTATTTGTTTTTTTTCTGGTTTCTTTTGTC